GGGGGGGGGGGGGGACGGGACACAACACACTTTGCACCACATGGGCACCAAGGAACTTCTTCTGGATCCACAATCCTGGACCCTCCCAGCTGGAAGGAGCCTCAGAGGTGTGCCACCTCACAGTGATTCATCCAACTGTAGATTAAACAAATACTTGCTCATAAACCCTATTTGCCAGGCAGTGGGAACCCAGAGGTGCTTCAGTACCAGGCACAGTTGCTGGAGGGGGCAGAGACCCCTTCTGCAGCTTTTCCAGGCTGCTGGAGGCTTCAGGTTGAGCTCCCTATGGTTGCCACTGCGATGGTAGAGAGTCAGCCTTGGCCACTGACCCCTCATTGTGTGACCTGAAGCAAGTGGCTTTGCCTCTCTGGGCTTGCTTCCTCATCTGTGAAATGCAGGCAATAATAGTACCTTACCCCAAAGGGATATTGTGAGGGTCATGCAAGCTCTTTTTAAAAAAAAAAAAATTAATCTTCATTCGAGGATATTTTTTGCATTGCTTTAGAGAGAGAGTGGAAAGGAGAAAGAGATAGAAACATCAGTGTAAAGGGACACATAGATTGTTTGCCTCCTGCACGTGTCCAGACCAGGGCTGGGGATCAAGTCTGCAACCAAGGTACATGCCCTTGGCTGGAATTGAACTGGGACCCTCTAATCTGCACAGGCTGACACTCTAACCACTGAGCAAACCGGCTAAGGCCAGGCTCTTTCTTTTTTGTGGAAGTGCTGATGATATCCTGTGAGCTCTCTTCAAGTGCTATTCTTGTTGCCTTTCTCTGAATCTCAGTTTCTCTGTATGATAACGAGGGAAAGATTTAGGGAATTGAGTCCGGTCCCCAAGATGTATGATTGCTTAAGCAGTTGCAGACCCTGGTCATCTCCTCTGTCTCGAGACATCAGCTCCTGCAGCTCACTACAGCCCATCCCTCTCCGCACTCTCTGTTTCCTTGCAGTATGTTCCCCCATCCAGGCCTTTGTACTTGCTGTGCCTTCCACCAGGCGTTCCTTCCTCTCACTTTCCACTTGCTTGGCTCTGACTCATCTCCCCCCACCCCCACCCCTTAACTACTGAACTTTATTTTTTTTTAGAGCAGGGTGAGGTTTATTGGGAAAAAAGGGCAGATAGTACAGAGAGTTCTCATATAACTCTCCTTTACAGTTTCCCCCTTTAGTAACATCTTATATGAGTGTTACATATTTGTTACAATTGAAGAGCCCTTATTTATTCATTATCATTAACTGAAGTCCACAGTTTACTTTAAGGTTCACTCTATGCGTTGTACATTCTATAGGTTCTGAGGAATGCACATAGTTTATGTATCTACTGTAACACTATCATACAGAATCATTTCACTGTCTTAAAAGTCTCCATCCCTCCTTCCTCCCTAAGCCCTGGTTGTGTTCCACAGTTTTACCTTTTCCAGAATGCTATATAGTTGGACTCATTACAAGATGTAGTTTTTTTCAGACTGGCTTCTTGCACTTAGCAATATGCATTTACCGTTCCTCTGTGTCTTTTTGTGGCTTGATAGTTACTTTTTTTTATTGCTGAGTAAGATACTATGGCCTGGCCTGGCCAGGTGTGGCTCAGCGGTTGAGCGTCGACCCAGGATCCAGGCGATCGGGGTTCGATTCCCAGTCAGGGCACATGCCGGGGTTGCGGGCTCAATCCCCAGTCGGTGCATGCAGGAGGCAGCTGATCAATGGCTCTCTCATCATCGATGTTTCTATCTCTCTATCCCTCTCCTTTCCTCTCTGTGAAATCAATAAAGATATATTAAAAAAAAAAAAAGATGCTATGGCCTGGATGTAACATAGTTTATCCATTCACCTACCAGAGGACATTTTGGTTGCTTCCAGTTTGGGGCAATAGTTGCTATATTGAATATGGCTGCTATTAACATTCATGATTTTTGCCTGGAAATAAATTTTTCAAATTAATTGGGTAAATACCTAGGAATGCAATTGATAGATCGTAAGATAAGACTATGCTTAGGTTTGTAAGAAACCCCCCAAAAGTCTTCCAAAGTAGCTGTACCATTTGCATTCTTATTGTTCCACATCCTGACAACATTCAGTGCTGTCAGTTTTTCATATTTTAGCCATTCTAATAGGTGTGTGGTGGTATCTCATTGCTGTTTTAACTTGCAGTCAGTCCCCCTATGACATCTGATATGGAGCATATTTTCATATGCTTATTTGCCATCTGTGTATCTTCTTTAGTGAGGTGTCTGTTCAGATCTTTGGCTCAGT